TGTAAAACAACATGAAAACCCGCATCAAAACGTTCAAATGTGCTCAAGGACAACGCAAAAACTAAAATTTAAAGGTGCTAAATTGATGAGTGAATTGCACTCATCAAATGGAAAACTAGATTAGAGCAAAGTTGAGTAGCCCCAACATTGTCACAATAAAACTAGGGAGATGTAAGCACAGGTCTCGTAACAAAAAATAAATCCAGTTAAGCTCAGTTGTTGTTGCAGCAACAGAACGGTATTCAGCTTCAGTAGAGGAACGAGCTACGGCCTGTTGTTTCTTTGAACTCCAAGAAATAGCATTTCATCCAAGATAAACAATATGGGCACTAGTGGAAAAAAAATCATTTGGATGGCCAGCCCAATCAGCATCGAAAAAGGCATGTAAGGACAAAGAAGAATTTTTATATAGCCGAAGACCTTCATTTATAGTGCCACAGAGATAACGAAGTAGCCGTTTAACAAGAGCCCAGTGCTCAGTAGTAGGCTTGTGCATAAATTGTGATAGCTTATTAACGCCAAAAGTAATATCAGGACGAGTAAGAAGGAGATATTGTGAAGACTTCCAATTACTTTTCAAAACTCTGTAGGGTCCGAAAGAGTAGTCCCAAATTGCATTGTAAGAGAAGAAGAATTTGACCCAAAAAAATTTGACAAGTAGATAGAGTATGTTTAATAAATATGCCAAATTGCAAAACACCACGATTGTTAGGGACAACCTCCACACCAAGAAAATATGACAATTTCTTTTAAAGAGAAACCAGAAGCCAAAAGTTTAACAAATCGATCTACCAAAGAATTATTATCCCCTGTTATTATAATTAGGTCATCATCATAAACAAGTAGATAGAGTATATGTCCATGTGAGTTAAGACAAAAAAAGTGATGCATCAGCATGAGAATTTTTTAACCCAAAGTTAAAAAGAAAATTGCGAAGTTCTTGATACCAGGCTCGGGGGGCTTGCTTGAGCCTATAGATTGCTTTTGATAGTTTACAAACATTAGATGGATGATCTTAATCAATAAAGCCATGAGGTTAAGCCATGTATACGGTCTTAGAGGAGATGTCCTTGTAAGAAAGCATTGTTAATTGTCGAAGAGACCAGCCACAACTTACAGCTAGACTTAGTACAAGTCGAATATTGGTGGCTTTAAGTATCGGACTAAAAGTATCATGATAATCTAATCCTGGGTGTTGGTGGAAACCTTTTGCAACCAAGCGAGTCATGATAACAAAAATATGAATGCCGTATATTTCGTGCATCATAGGTTACAGTACCAGATCTTCCTTGCTACTACATATTCACTTCAGGGTGATTAAGAATTCAATTCTAATATGGTTTCTTTATTATTTTTATTTAGAAACCAAAATAAATTGACATAAAATTAATTCTTGACATTCAGGTTATATGGGAAATTGAAGAACAGGAACTGGTTGGAAATTTCTATCAGAACACGTGAGGAGGAAGGAAATAGAAATGCCTAAATTTGTATCTGAATTCGACAATAGAATATAGATTGTAGAGTGATCACCAGGAGGATTTGGAGCTCCAGATATGGACTCTTTAGTATCAAATGTACTCTATAAGGTGTATTTCTCGAAAATACTGTATCGGTTTCTTGGATGTTGTGGTTAATTAAGTAAACAAGAATGATCTCCTAAGTATCGGTGCTTAACTTATGTTAAGCACCGGTGACATGGCACACTATTTAATTGGTGAATCATTTGACATGGCATACTATTTAATTGGTGAATCAAATCACCATTTAAATGGTGTGTCATGTCACCGGTGCTTAGGAAATCATTTTTTATTATGTAAATATTGAGATATTTTATTTTCAATTTATAAATTAAATTCCTATTTTCAATAAATTTATGTTTAATTATATTAATATTCTTCTATGCCCATTAACATCCTAAATGAGAAAAATTAGGTTCATAGAAATGACTTTCCTCACACCTGTTTGTCAATGTCCGAAGAATCTTATCATGGTAGACCCATCATAAGAGAGCGAACACAACGTTAATATTGAGCCTTTGAACAGAAATATCAACTTATAAGTGGTACTCTTGGTGTAGTAATCAAATATTGACAATAAACCATGTTCACATAAACCAAAACTTTATAATTGTCACATATTTATTACCAAAGGTGTGCATGTAATTCTTCCAAATATTTACCTTCCTCACACAATCATCCTAATATTTCAAATAAATAATTTAGACAAGAGATGTTACTTTGGTAACATGCTGTTTCAACTAGTTTATTTTGAAAAAATATTAATCCAAAATAAACTTTAATACCAATATTTAAAATTGATTGACGTCTTATATTTTATTTCTCTTTTTCTTTTGTTTTAATCAAAACAAAATAAAAAAAA